TCAGTTGATTCAACTTTCTTTTGAAAGAGTCGAGGAATGGAGCCTCAACCACGTGTTGAGGTAATGAATTCCACTCGTTGATGATTCGATGGGAAAGTCGATAGTCAGCTGACGAGTAATTTGTTCTGGGCTTTTGAACTTTTTTGGAGTGTTCTCGTAAATTCTCTGTTTTGGAAGACAAAAAATGAGAACATATTAGGTGCGGACTCATCACTAAGCAATTTGAAAACTAATCAAGTCGCTTCTAGTTTTACGATATGGCAACGGTAACAGGTTTAGCTTGGTCAGCCGAGCATCATACGGAAGCTTCGCTATTCCGGGAATCAGCTTAGTTGCTGTTCTCTGAACCTTTTCCAAAAGCTCACTGTCTTTTTTAAGCAGGGGCTAGCCGCTTGTGTGCTGTACTCAAGTTTAAGACGTACGAATACTGTATACAAAGTCAAAAACGTTGTAGCGTCGACATGACTAAAAGCCCTACGTATTGACCATAAGGTTCTAAAACCTTCGGCGGCTATTGCACGTCAGTGTGCAGTAGTCTTTAAGTTTTGGCTAACGATGACTCCTAAGTCATTACGTGTCTGAACGATAGGTACCTCAGTGTTATTCATCGTGTATTTATCTGTGCCTTGATGACCGATATGCATCACAACACACTTGAAAGTATTTATCGGCAACTGCCTGGTTTGAGACTAACCAGATAATTTATTCAGGTCATTTTGGAGTTCTAAGCTATCACCCTTACATCGTATCGTTCTCCATATATTGACATCGTCACCATATAGCAAGACCGATGATGATAGGAAACGAGGAAGGTCATTTACATATAAGAGGAATAGCACGCCCCAAAACTGTACCCTGGGGCACTCCACTAAGCACAATTTCCCAGCTAGATAACTTTGAGTTGACCCGTACTCTTTGTTGGCGCCCAACTAGGAGGTCTTTTATTCACACCAATAGATTGCCTCTAATTCCGAAATTTCTTAACTCATAAAACAGCCGGTTGTGCGGAACTTTGTCGAAAGCTTTGCTGAAATCAATGTAAGCTACGTCTACAGGTAACTTTTGGTCCTTAAGAGCGCACCAGCTTTCACGAGCCACTAATAAGTTAGTGAGACAAGAGTAACCTATTCTGAAACCGTGCTGCTTCTCCGAAAGGATCCGGTTTTCATCGAGGTACTTAAACAGCTCCTTCCGAATAATCTTTTCTAAGGTTTTAACAACCACACCAGTTAGGCTAACGGGTCGGTAATTCTCAGGTTTATGTTTCGTACCTGTTTTGAAGACGGGACTTACTATAGCGTTCTTCCAGTCTTTTGGTAAACGACCTTGCGTTGCGGATAGATAAAAGCATATACTTAAAGGGTTCGCAACGAAGCTAAATAATTCCTTCAGTAGCCTAGGATGTGATTCATCTGGCCCCGTGGATTTACCTGTGTCAAGCTTATTTAGCAGACCAAAGAGATCGAGTTCTTTAATGGTCACGCTATCCAGTGTATGTGTGGGGGGATCTGTATGCACTGACGGGAAGGGTGCTTATATGGTATATACATTGCTAAAGTAGTTCGAGAGCACCTGAGCCTTACCAAAGTCGTCCTCCACTAATGATAAGGCAGTACTGTCTCCCCACAGTACAAGAATATTTCCTCTTCTTTTTGTCCTTTGGTTTATATAGGAATACAAGCTTTTAGGACATTCTATGGATTCCTTAAATAGTTTTCTTCGTACAACTTTCTAGACTTACGGAGGGTCGAGGCACAGGTATTCCGAGCTTTTCGATACTGAGATTTTGTCTCATCAGTCCTCAGTAACCCAAATCTATCCCACATTTTTCTTTTCTTACGAAGAAGGATGCGGACCTCCCCACCGAACCATAGTGGAGAGTTTCTCGACCACCTTGGTATGGTCCTAGGGATGTGTGGGGTGGGTGGTAACTTTTAAGTATAAATTTCGAAATGCGTCCCAAGCCATTTCAATTGAGGACCCTGAGTTTATTGTCCAGTCTACTGAAGATGCTGAGTGCATGATATCTGGTATGCTTGCTTTCCAGACATTAGGTCTGGATTGAGCTAACACGTGCTCGTGATTGACAGTTATGTGGAAGTCGAAAGTTGAAACTGAGTGATCACTTTTACTTATGGGTGGCATGTAATGGAGGTTCGCAACATCCTCATAGTGAGTCAATATAAGATCTAGTAAGGATGACTCAGTGTCTGGGTCGTACCTAGTCGCTTCTTTCACATGTTGCACTAGGGCAAATGTGATAACCGCATCAACTAGTCCCTACTCGAAGGAATTTTCTGACGACTCAGTTCGCATATTTTCCCAGTCTACCATAGGTGCATTAAAGTCCCCTAGGATTAGATATCGACCACTTTGTGACCAAGTATTTGGACTGCTTAGCAGGACCTCATTTACGTCACAGCTTGGACTGCGATAGACCAAACCGATCAGCAGCTCTTGTCCTTTGCATTTCAAGCGGCAACTAACTAATTCAAACGTCCCACTCATGGGATACACTGTCGATAATGGCAAATGGGATAGCATTCCTAATGAATAGAGCTACTCCCCCCTCCTTTACGCTTTTGTATTCTGTCGGCCCTTACTAACGTAAAACCCTTGAAATCAAGTTTTATACTATCTATAGGCTGTCAGACAGGTTTCTGTGATTGCGATTATGTCTGGCTTTGTAGAGTCAATCTGTACACCTAGTTCCAATCGCTTATTGAGTAAGCTTCGGGCATTAGTGTAAGAGATCCGAAGCCTATTTAAGTGGCTTCGCGCTTCACCCATAGTGGCTTGGGCATCATTCTCTGTCTAAGCCTTACAACCCGAAAAATTGAAGTTTTTATGTCATTTACGCCAGCGTTTAAACCTCAGTTGTAGTTCTTTTTCGGATTCCCGTCTTTCTACGCTTTCTGCAAACGGCAAGTCCTTACGGATAAAAACTCCTGAACCCTTTAATTTATGTCCATTCTGCAAAATTAAGTCGCGTTCATTCGAAGATTTGAATACTACTTTAAGCAGTCTGGATTGATTAGGCTTCAAGTTCGCTAGGCTACTTAGTATGTACACCTTTAGCAAGGTGACTCCGGGGATATTTTGAGGCATGAGTTGATTAAGTAGCTGTTTTATCAGCACAATGTCATGCTCAAAACGAGTTTTTGGTTCAGAGCTTTCACTCTCCTTGATTCTATGAGAAACAACTGATCTGTCACTTTGATCAGTCTTCGATTTCTCGACTACTTTTATGGGGCAGGATTCCCTTTTATATCGTTATGTTGTTTCTTCCTTACAACCTGTACCCGTTCGTCAACGTTGCTATGAGAAGCAACCACAGTTGCGTCAAACATACTGTGAGATTCCGGAGGGTTGTCGACGATTCGGGAGGTCAGGTTGTGTTTCCCGCTGGAAACTGATCGAGCCATGCGATTGCGGCTTTCAGGCGTTTCCTGCTGGATACCATTTAGAAGACGGGAAACAAAAGAAACTTCTTTTCTTGAGCTTTTGGTTAAGACAAACCTCTTTGAAGACTGTTTTTCCTCTTTTGGTCGGTGTGAGTCACCTGTTTTCGAACTCACCTGAGTTTGCTTCACATCAATTTGCGTGTCGACAGAGCGAGTACTGTTCGTTGTGTCCCGACCATACTTGCCAAAACACTTTTGCATCAGCATTTACCAGTGAGATGGCCTCGGTTAGCAAGCTGTTTGCATCCGAACAACACTGTTGACAAAGCCATACACAACCGTTTTTGTTGAACCGTTTGAAAGCTGCAGGAGTTAAATTCGTGCAAACTTCGTGGTACCAGCCTTTGCACTCATCGCACTGCATGCCGCTTTCAACGCGATAACGACAGCCCGGACGTTGGCAATTGGTTTTTTTGCACTGTCCAGTCATTAAACAGGGGTCCTTTTTTAAAAAAAGAACTGGATGCAATAATACTCAGACAAAAATGATCTATGACCAAAAAAGTGGAAAACTGTAGATCGTTAGTACAAAAAGTACTAACAGATACAATAGAAAACAAAGTACTCAAAAGTACCGACGACAAACTAATATAGAAACAGAAACGATACTCTAATCGAATACTTTAACTGAAATAAATTCAATTAAAGTGAAAACAGTAGTCTTGATACGTAATAAACGGTCAAAAAATGGAATTCACTCAGCGAGGAAAAATACCACTGTCCTTTTAATTAGACTCAAGTCCAAAATGGGTTTACAAGGTAGCAACAATCTGTTATGTCATATTGTCTTCGGACATTTGTGTATGTTGCCATCTCGATTATTCTCAATGCGGTGGGACTATAAGTTATGGACAATCTTTGTAACATTAGCAACACGGTAAGATAGAAACGACCTTTGATTGAAGCTTATTGATTGCTTAGTTGGTTGGATCAATACCTTTAACTGAACAGTTGCAAATAATTAGACGGTAATCGAGCTGACAATTTATACGCATCTCATCGGGGTATTTACTTCAACGGGAAGTCAACTGACTAAGTTGCTCACTACACTTCAAGCGACATGAAAATAGAGTTGAGAAACTATGACTACTTAAAAGAGTCTAAGTATAGTTATGAATCAATGGGAGAAGTAAGATTAGGACTAACCGTTAATGTTATAGTTATAAATTGGGCTTGTCATCGTAAACTGACATCAGCTATATGATTTGGCTATGTAGATAAATTATTTCTGTGTTGAAGTCTTGGGTTTGCTATCCAAAATCTCATTTGGTCTCCCATAAATTATAGACTTGGCGACCATTGAACGGGAAGAAAATACATTGAAACAATCTAGCTCTTCCGAAGAAGTGGATGAGAAACAAAGGAGTACTTGGCTATCGGTTGTAAGCTCATCGTATGTCCTTAATCTCGCTCTTGCTATTCAGATTTCCACACGTTCCTCTACACAACTTCGGCACACAATACATCAGCGTAAGTGATACTTGTTCAAGCCATAGTTATTCTGTCACAATTCCTACAAGATCAAAGGTTCTTTGAATGATTGAGTCGTTAAAATGTGTCCAGTATTTCAAAGTAAATTCTTGAAATTTGTTTTTTACCATTTATCATAGGGAGATCCTTTAGATGAGTTAACTTCATCATCACCATGTTTACCTCCTCTACAACCTTCACGAACACACAAGGTGTTCTTTCGTGTAAGTCGTGTTTTTTGAACTTGATAACATTTCAGTGTGACAGTAACCCTGTAAAGCCACCTATACCATATCCTGATGACTATCAGGATAAGTGGAACGGATTGTTTGTTCGTATGCCATGTTCTCCTGAAAGCGTTTATCCGGTTTATGAAGTAAGATTGTTCAGTGGGCTTATGTTTTAGGGTGGTGCTAATAGCCTTATTTCTAGATGGGTCGTGATTGAAAAGGCATTGAGAAATAAGATAAAATCTTCTGACGAGTTGAAGGTAAAAAACTTAGTTCATTTTAATTTTAACAATGTTGTCATTCATGTAATCAGATTTGCTATTTGTATGGTATATAAGAGAAATGATTAGGTCACACATTCTTATTAATTTATTTTAGGAAGCGATTCTCTCCTACAACTATCGTTTCAAATCCTACTGGAATTTTAAAACATTAGAACAATTATGTATGATGAACCTGATCCCCGATGGTGGAAACGATAATTTCTTCGGTAACACTCTTTCCGGAATTTGTTCGTTAGCACTAAATTTGCCTATTTTTGTTACAAAAGTAATTAGCTGTTTTTCAATGGTTTATAATTTACTCTTGAAAATTAAAATGTCTTTGCTAGTTTTCTTTATGAAAAGAAAGTACTAGATTGATTGGAATGTTGTAGAAAAATCCTTAGAAAGATTTAATCTTGGTCAGAGGTTGGATGTATTTTATTTCTGCAATAATGACTATTAGTTTTTAGTCACTCAACTGAAATCTCTGGTCTTGACATGTTTTAGGACTTCATTTGGTAAACATATCTAAAGTGGGGTTTAGTGTGATAATGCTCCGGTTCAAGGTCCCCCACTTACCATAGTAAAATAAAACACGGGTTTCTAGTATCTCATTATCTTCATGTTAAAAAGTTTTGAACTATTCTCATATTTTTGCATTCAATTTAAGGCTTGACAAATTCCATTTTAATTATTGAGCCAATACTTCACGTACTCCTTAGTGTAAAGTCACTGCTAAACGTTAACATTTAAAGTACTCAGGTAATTTTTCGGTCAGAAGTCCCAAGGGTAGGTCATGTGCTTGTTGTTTGTTGGCCTTCAAATCTATTAGCACCTCCAAGTTGAGGAAAAACGGGATGCGGCTGACTCTCAGTTTTGCTCCCAAGTACCCTGGTATGGCCTAGGGTGAAGAGGGTCAGCTCCATCTATTAAAATGCTCACACGGCCACGCATATACAGCCACTGCCACTGCAGTCTCACTCGCTGTCTTCCCGTGGCGAGGATGTTGTTTATAAAACCGAAAGGACGAAAGTCCGGCGTTGAACAGGGTTCACGTACAACTAGGGGAGTTGGAAAGCCCTAATTCTAAACCAATGGTACACATGGACTCATACTTTTATTTTTTTGTCAGTGGTTGTCACTATTTATTTGAACGTCGTTCGATTATCATTTCTACTCTTTCACTTTAGCCTATTCCTTTACTATCATGCCGAAAAGAATGCGCACTTACTTTAAGTCAACTCCAGATAGCCAGTCTTTTGGCAAATGCTTTGTTTTGTACATTTCCTAGACGTAATTGTCACAGTCAAGATGCAGAATATGTTAATTTCCCTCAGATCAATTTCTCTCATTTACTGTCAGCAAAAGCCGACAGTAAATATAATACAAGCAGGTGAGTTTATCCATTATACTAAATCCTAAGTCATCTTCACGATTTACTGTATCTGCATTTCATGAAACCAGTTAAATCGCAATAATAATTATTAGCAAGCTATTATGGGGATTCGGTTCTCAATGCTATTTTGTAAGAAAATCTAACTGAAGTTAAGATGCTTATGTAAAATCTAAAATAAGACACTACAAAGCAAACGTGATTGCTTTCATTTTCGTCACTATATTCTTGTTGGTTACCCTTGTATTTATCGACTTAGAATACGCAGATGACATTGTCCTGTTTGGTGAAGACGCTGATAAAATGCAGTCTTTTGGTAGCACTAAGCAACAATGCCAAAATGTTTGAGATTCGCTTCTCCCCCTCTAAATGCAAGTTTTTGCTTCAGGACTGGTCTGCGTCAGCACCTGAACTAAGGATAGGGAGTGAAGTAGTCGAACGCGTCGACAACTTCACTTATTTCGGAAGTCTGATCAGCCCTAATGGGTTGGTGTCTGACGAATTCTCAGCACGGATTCGAAAAGCTCGCTTGGCTTTTGCCAAAATACGTCACCTATGGCGAAGGCGAGACATCCGTCTATCAATTGAGGGACGAGTATACTACACGACAGTCTGTTCTGTTTTAATTTACGGTAGCGAGACCTGGCCATTAAGAGTATAAGATACTCGTAAGCTACTAGTATTTGACCACAGATGCCTCAGAGATATTGCTCGTATCTGCTGAGATCACCGAGTAAGTAATAGTGCGGTTAGACGCAGACTATTAGGGAATGATGGTAAATCAGTTGATCAGGTTGTGAATCTTCATCGAATGAGATGGTTGGGTCACGTGTTACGTATGCCTGAACTCCGATTACCACGACGTGCAATGCTAACCGGTGTTGGAGATGGTTGGAAGAAAGTTAGAGGCGGTCAAACCAAAACGTGGCATCAGTGCTTGAAGTCACTAACTTCTAGTCTGAGCCATGTCGGTAGATGCAGACTACTTGGTTGGGGTCCGCGTGATTATCATAACCAATGGTTGGAGACTCTTGGTGACATGGCTCAGGATCGATCACAATGGCGTCGGTGTATACACTCTCTGTCTTCCCTTAAACTAAGAGATTAAAATCGCTTCATATCTTCCTTTCTACGAACTAATTCTTTCTTCCTGTACTATATCCTTATTGCAATCTTTCTTTTATATATTACCACCTCTGAATTAACTACTTTTATGAATCCGGTGTTAATCTTGTTGTGTTAATGAGGTATGGCAACTTGGACCGATGCATATATGTGCCTGGTCTGACATTGTAGCTGACTGACTGACTGTACTTCTTGTAGTACACTAGCGGATACCCTAAAATCTTCGTGTGAAACTATATATATATGTATATATATATATATATATATATATAAACTTTCCGATATTAGGAATTCAACTGTTAGCGAAACTATCTCGGAAAAAGATCGACATATTATTCACGCTCAATCCAGGAGATTAGATCGATGAGCAGAATACTTTAGGGATCAGTTCAACTGGCCTTCAGCCATATTTCGGTCCCCCACGATCCTCTAGTCGGCCTGAATGCCAAGTTGATGTATGTCCTCTAACTCTACGAAGTTAAAAAAGCTATATGTAATCTTAAGCAAGGAAGAGAAACAGGCCCTGGGAGCTGGACGTAATCACATCTGACTGGTCTCAGTCACTGATTGTGCCAGTCTGTAAGAATGGACAAAAGTCCTCTTGTGACAATCACAGAGGAATCATTTTGACCAATATAGTGTCTAAAATATTAGCTTCAACAATACTTCGACGCCTAAATAAAGCCCGTGAAAAGCAGACTAGAGAAAACTAGGCTGGTTTCCGACCTGGATGTGGCTGTATAAACCAGATATTCACACTACGTTAGGTCCTAGGACATAGACACACATCCAGACGTCCCACAATAGTAGTATTTCTCGACCTTAAGGCGGCATTTGACTCGGTTGATCGTGAGGTTCTATGGCAGTGTTTGTCACTGAAAGGAGTACGAAAGAAGTACATTAACCTTGTAAAGGCTCTCTACTCGGACACAACTGGTCGAGTGAGAGCTTATGGCGAACCGTCATCAGGATTGATTAACTCAAGTGGTGTTCGTCAGGGCTGTCCATTCTTTTTTAACTTTGTTATTGACGTGCTTTTAGAGATAACACTTTCCTCATCTGAATTCCTAAGAGTTGGACTTCTCCCGGGATATTTAGTCAGTCAGCTACAACGTAGGACCAAGCACATATATGCATCGGTCTAAGTTGCCATACCTCATTAGCACAGCAAGATGAACATTGGATTCATAGAAGTAGTGACTTTATGGACTAATGTCATGTTTTGATTTGGCTGCCCCTAACCTTCTTCCAACATTAGTAGGCATTACACGTCATGGTAATCGGAGTTCAGGCATACGTAACATGTGACCCAACCATCTCATTCGATGAAGATTCACAACCTGATCAACTGATTTACCATCATTCCCTAATAGTCTGCGTCTAACCGCACTATTACTTACTCGGTGATCTCAGCAGATACGAGCAATATCTCTGAGGCATCTGTGGTCAAATACTAGTAGCTTACGAGTATCTTATACTCTTAATGGCCAGGTTTCGCTACCGTAAATTAAAACAGAACGGACTGTCGCGCTGTATACTCGTCCCTCAATTGATAGATGAATATCTCGCTGCACAAGTGCTGGTAGTGGGGTCAGTGATGAAACCAATCCACGTATAGTGAAAGCTAGAGCGGCTTATGCCAATCTGGGCCATCTTTGGCGCCTTCGTGATGTTAGTATGGCTGTAAAAGATCGGATCTACAACGCCTCGATGAGAGCAGTTCTGCTCTATGCTTGCGAAACCTGGCCTCTCTGAGTTGAGGATGTTAGACGACTCTCTGTGTTTGATCATTGTTGCCCCCGAAAGGTTACTGACATCCAGTGGCAACACCATGTTAGTAATGCAGAGGTCTGGCGTCGTCTGTTCTGGCACAGCGACGATAATTCAATTGGTATCACTATCTTGAAACACCGACTTCGGTGGCTTAGACATGTTCTACGAATGTCGTCTCAGAGAGTTCTACGTCGTGCACTAGTTGACGACGCTGGGACTGGTTGGAATAAAGTGGAAAGGTGGTCAGTCTACGACATGGTGTCGTGGCAAGAAAGAAGGATCTACAAGACTGGCTTCTGTTGGTCTTTCGCGACTCCCTGGTTGGGGTCCGAGAGATGATACAACACAGTGGTTAGAGACATTATCACATATGGCTCAGAATAGAAGCCAGTGGCAATCCTGCTGTAACCTTCTTTTACTTTCTTCATAAAAAGTGGTTGTATCTTCCTTAACTGAAAGATTTCTCCTGGTTGTACCTTTCCGTTTCCCCTATTATTATTATTATTATTATTATCATTATTTTTATTTTTTTTCTTTTACGCTCCTCACCTTTCTTTTTCTATTCGAATTCTCATTGTTTTGTGTGGCGCATATATATTCGGTGCCCTCTTGTATCAATATTTATGTGTTCAAATAAATAAATAAAATAAAATGTAGAGTAGCTGGAGACCAGCTGAACTGCTCCTGTTCCACTCATCGTTCTAAACGTCTGGGCTGAGAGCAGATATGAGTGTCGTATTTTTCCGAGATTGTCTCACTTAAGCTTGACTTGTTAATTCCAGTTTCTTTTATTAGTCTGAAAAGCTGTCTTGCATTACCTACAGCCACTGCCTTCTCCATCTCTTTTGCTTTCGTTGCCTGCCACTGCTCACGGTCGTTCATTAGACTTCTGGTTAACCTAGGTCTGATTTGCTTTCGCTCTTCATCGTGTTCAGAGCCTGATGGGATTCACTTGTTGACTTAGAATATGCCGATGACATTGTTCTATTGGTAAGGACGCTGACAAAATACAGAGTCTTCTGACCACTCTAATCAACAATGCAAGCATGCTTGGCATGCGATTCTCCCCATCGAAATGCAAAATGTTACTTCAGAATCGGGTTGCATCGACACCTAAACGAATGATAGGGAGTGAAGTAGTTGAGCGTGTCTATCGCTTCACTTATCTTGGGAGTCGTATCATCTTTTGTAGTCTGGTATTTGACGAAATCTCAGCACGGATACAGAAGGCTCGGCTAGCTTTTGCCAACTTGCGTCATTTATGGCGTAGGCGAGATATCCGTCTACTAACCAAAGGACGGGTTTACTGCGCAGCAGTTCGTTCCGTCCTGCTTTATGGCAGTGAAACATGGCCGGTAAGAGTTGAGGATATTCAGAGGTTACTAGTATTCGATCATAGTTGTCTTCGAAGAATTGCTCGTACATCCTGGGACTACGGAGTTGTTAGGAAACAGATACTAGGTAAGGATGGCAAATCGATTGGTAAAGTAGTGAAACTTTATCAGTTGAGATGGCTGAGACACGTGTTACGTATGCCCAATCACCGACTGCTCCACTGAGCGATGTTTTATGGTGTAGGAGTAAGTTGGAAGAAAGCTAGGGTCGGCCAGACCGAAACGTGGCACTAATCCGTTAAGTCACTGACAAGTGGACTGAGGCATGTTGGTAGGTGTATACTACCTGGTCGGGGACCGCGAGATGATAGAAACCGATGGTTAGAGACCCTGGATGACATGGCTCATAATCGTTTGCAGTGGCGCAGATGCATCCACTCTTTAAGTTCTTCCAAATTCTAATCTTCTGAATTCTTCATGTCCCTTTTTTTTCCTCTTTCTAAATTTATTTCACTGTATTATACTCATTGAATAACATCTTCAAACCCTAATGTTTCCGATTACGGCTTATAATTTTACTATCTCTACCACTACGGGATTTGAATCGACAATTGTATCTGTGTTTATGTCGTATGGCAACTTGAACTGATGTACGTACGTACGAAGTTCTACGTTGTTGCTGACTGACTGACTTCCATTCAACATTGTTTATTTGAGATATAATTACGCTCATGTTCGTGTTTTGATTTGAGGACTTGTCGTGTGAAGTAAAGTGTCTAATTTATACCATGTAATGGGTGGCTGAGTTGTGATAAGAGTTCATATCACTACTGAATACTACTTTCGATCATATTGTGGTTTAATTTTAGGACACTTCATGTCAAAATTGAAAAGCTACGTTGCATCTTACACTATTTTCATCGTGTTCTTCAAAAGTTTCCTACAGGATCAGTTACATTTACAAGACGCTGTCTAGGTAATTTGTCACCAGATTGGTCGAGGAGCGAATTAACATTTGATCAGTTGCGTTTACATGTCAATGCCACAGGATCAATTACTGATGCTGGTCCAAACACCTTACAAGTTTGTTATGTGTCGTTTATTAAACCTATTTTGTATTGAGTTTAGTTTTGTATTGTTTTTTTATGCTAGGATGTATCTTATGTTGCCACTTAGATCAGCCATTAAGAAATTTTTTCATACAATCATCTTGTAGTCGTTTATATGAAATATTTGTTTGTGACTTGTGAATTTCATTACAGATACCTAGATCTCGCCGAAATCAAGCGTCTTTATATAGGATTAATAATGTACTAAACTCCTAAATCGTTCCATTTTTATGAACAAAATATCGTGTTTCCGTTCTGTCACTAGAGTATCGATTTCGTCATACATGGTTGTTTACATTAATTTGCTTCATCAACTAATTTTTTATCAGAAGGGGTTTTATGGATATTATAGTAATCTGAATAGTTAAGGTCATGAGTCAGTTGAAGCAAGACCACAGTGGAAAACCTGGAAGCACTGGACGGCCGTTCTGTCCTACTGTGGGACTTCTCAGCAGCGCACACGATCCCGCCTCGCGAGATTCAAACACAGGACCTACCAGCCTCGCGCGCGAGCGCTTCTAGCGAGAAGCAGTGACCAATGGAATTCAACTGCGTCTGTTGTGAGATAGTAACTCACTGAAGATAATGGTGGGTGTGTCGCTCAATTTCATGGATTAGTGCCACGTTTCGGTCTGGCCGACCCTAGCTTTCTTCCAACTTACTCCTACACCATAAAACATCGCTCAGCGGAGCAGTCGGTGATTGGGCATACGTAACACGTGTCTCAGCCATCTCAACTGATAAAGTTTCACTACTTTACTAATCGATTTGCCATCCTTACCTAGTATCTGTTTCCTAACAACTCCGTAGTCCCAGGATGTACGAGCAATTCTTCGAAGACAACTATGATCGAATACTAGTAACCTCTGAATATCCTCAACTCTTACCGGCCATGTTTCACTGCCATAAAGCAGGACGGAACGAACTGCTGCGCAGTAAACCCGTCCTTTGGTTAGTAGACGGATATCTCGCCTACGCCATAAATGACGCAAGTTGGCAAAAGCTAGCCGAGCCTTCTGTATCCGTGCTGAGATTTCGTCAAATACCAGACTACAAAAGATGATACGACTCCCAAGATAAGTGAAGCGATAGACACGCTCAACTACTTCACTCCCTATCATTCGTTTAGGTGTCGATGCAACCCGATTCTGAAGTAACATTTTGCATTTCGATGGGGAGAATCGCATGCCAAGCATGCTTGCATTGTTGATTAGAGTGGTCAGAAGACTCTGTATTTTGTCAGCGTCCTTACCAATAGAACAATGTCATCGGCATATTCTAAGTCAACAAGTGAATCCCATCAGGCTCTGAACACGATGAAGAGCGAAAGCAAATCAGACCTAGGTTAACCAGAAGTCTAATGAACGACCGTGAGCAGTGGCAGGCAACGAAAGCAAAAGAGATGGAGAAGGCAGTGGCTGTAGGTAATGCAAGACAGCTTTTCAGACTAATAAAAGAAACTGGAATTAACAAGTCAAGCTTAAGTGAGACAATCTCGGAAAAATACGACACTCATATCTGCTCTCAGCCCAGACGTTTAGAACGATGAGTGGAACAGGAGCAGTTCAGCTGGTCTCCAGCTACTCTACATTTTATTTTATTTATTTATTTGAACACATAAATATTGATACAAGAGGGCACCGAATATATATGCGCCACACAAAACAATGAGAATTCGAATAGAAAAAGAAAGGTGAGGAGCGTAAAAGAAAAAAAATAAAAATAATGATAATAATAATAATAATAATAATAGGGGAAACGGAAAGGTACAACCAGGAGAAATCTTTCAGTTAAGGAAGATACAACCACTTTTTATGAAGAAAGTAAAAGAAGGTTACAGCAGGATTGCCACTGGCTTCTATTCTGAGCCATATGTGATAATGTCTCTAACCACTGTGTTGTATCATCTCTCGGACCCCAACCAGGGAGTCGCGAAAGACCAACAGAAGCCAGTCTTGTAGATCCTTCTTTCTTGCCACGACACCATGTCGTAGACTGACCACCTTTCCACTTTATTCCAACCAGTCCCAGCGTCGTCAACTAGTGCACGACGTAGAACTCTCTGAGACGACATTCGTAGAACATGTCTAAGCCACCGAAGTCGGTGTTTCAAGATAGTGATACCAATTGAATTATCGTCGCTGTGCCAGAACAGACGACGCCAGACCTCTGCATTACTAACATGGTGTTGCCACTGGATGTCAGTAACCTTTCGGGGGCAACAATGATCAAACACAGAGAGTCGTCTAACATCCTCAACTCAGAGAGGCCAGGTTTCGCAAGCATAGAGCAGAACTGCTCTCATCGAGGCGTTGTAGATCCGATCTTTTACAGCCATACTAACATCACGAAGGCGCCAAAGATGGCCCAGATTGGCATAAGCCGCTCTAGCTTTCACTATACGTGGATTGGTTTCATCACTGACCCCACTACCAGCACTTGTGCAGCGAGATATTCATCTATCAATTGAGGGACGAGTATACAGCGCGACAGTCCGTTCTGTTTTAATTTACGGTAGCGAAACCTGGCCATTAAGAGTATAAGATACTCGTAAGCTACTAGTATTTGACCACAGATGCCTCAGAGATATTGCTCGTATCTGCTGAGATCACCGAGTAAGTAATAGTGCGGTTAGACGCAGACTATTAGGGAATGATGGTAAATCAGTTGATCAGGTTGTGAATCTTCATCGAATGAGATGGTTGGGTCACATGTTACGTATGCCTGAACTCCGATTACCATGACGTGTAATGCCTACTAATGTTGGAAGAAGGTTAGGGGCAGCCAAATCAAAACATGACATTAGTCCATAAAGTCACTACTTCTATGAATCCAATGTTCATCTTGCTGTGCTAATGAGGTATGGCAACTTAGACCGATGCATATATGTGCTTGGTCCTACGTTGTAGCTGACTGACTAAATATCCCGGGAGAAGTCCAACTCTTAGGAATTCAGATGAGGAAAGTGTTATCTCTAAAAGCACGTCAATAACAAAGTTAAAAAAGAATGGACAGCCCTGACGAACACCACTTGAGTTAATCAATCCTGATGACGGTTCGCCATAAGCTCTCACTCGACCAGTTGTGTCCGAGTAGAGAGCCTTTACAAGGTTAATGTACTTCTTTCGTACTCCTTTCAGTGACAAACACTGCCATAGAACCTCACGATCAACCGAGTCAAATGCCGCCTTAAGGTCGAGAAATACTACTATTGTGGGACGTCTGGATGTGTGTCTATGTCCTAGGACCTAACGTAGTGTGAATATCTGGTTTATACAGCCACATCCAGGTCGGAAACCAGCCTAGTTTTCTCTAGTCTGCTTTTCACGGGCTTTATTTAGGCGTCGAAGTATTGTTGAAGCTAATATTTTAGACACTATATTGGTCAAAATGATTCCTCTGTGATTGTCACAAGAGGACTTTTGTCCATTCTTACAGACTGGCACAATCAGTGACTGAGACCAGTCAGATGTGATTACGTCCAGCTCCCAGGGCCTGTTTCTCTTCCTTGCTTAAGATTACATATAGCTTTTTTAACTTCGTAGAGTTAGAGGACATACATCAACTTGGCATTCAGGCCGACTAGAGGATCGTGGGGGACCGAAATATGGCTGAAGGCCAGTTGAACTGATCCCTAAAGTATTCTGCTCATCGATCTAATCTCCTGGATTGAGCGTGAATAATATGTCGATCTTTTTCCGAGATAGTTTCGCTAACAGTTGAATTCCTAATATCGGAAAGTTTATATATATATATATATATATATATACATATATATATAGTTTCACACGAAGATTTTAGGGTATCCGCTAGTGTACTACAAGAAGTACAGTCAGTCAGTCAGCTACAATGTCAGACCAGGCACATATATGCATCGGTCCAAGTTGCCATACCTCATTAACACAACAAGATTAACACCGGATTCATATAAGTAGTTAATTCAGAGGTGGTAATATATAAAAGAAAGATTGCAATAAGGATATAGTACAGGAAGAAAGAATTAGTTCGTAGAAAGGAAGATATGAAGCGATTTTAATCTCTTAGTTTAAGGGAAGACAGAGAGTGTATACACCGACGCCATTGTGATCGATCCTGAGCCATGTCACCAAGAGTCTCCAACCATTGGTTATGATAATCACGCGGACCCCAACCAAGTAGTCTGCATCTACCGACATGGCTCAGACTAGAAGTTAGTGACTTCAAGCACTGATGCCACGTTTTGGTTTGACCGCCTCTAACTTTCTTCCAACCATCTCCAACACCGGTTAGCATTGCACGTCGTGGTAATCGGAGTTCAGGCATACGTAACACGTGACCCAACCATCTCATTCGATGAAGATTCACAACCTGATCAACTGATTTACCATCATTCCCTAATAGTCTGCGTCTAACCGCACTATTACTTACTCGGTGATCTCAGCAGATACGAGCAATATCTCTGAGGCATCTGTGGTCAAATACTAGTAGCTTACGAGTATCTTATACTCTTAATGGCCAGGTCTCGCTACCGTAAATTAAAACAGAACAGACTGTCGTGTAGTATACTCGTCCCTCAATTGATAGACGGATGTCTCGCCTTCGCCATAGGTGACGTATTTTGGCAAAAGCCAAGCGAGCTTTTCGAATCCGTGCTGAGAATTCGTCAGACACCAACCCATTAGGGCTGATCAGACTTCCGAAATAAGTGAAGTTGTCGACGCGTTCGACTACTTCACTCCCTATCCTTAGTTCAGGTGCTGACGCAGACCAGTCCTGAAGCAAAAACTTGCATTTAGAGGGGGAGAAGCGAATCTCAAACATTTTGGCATTGTTGCTTAGTGCTACCAAAAGACTGCATTTTATCAGCGTCTTCACCAAACAGGACAATGTCATCTGCGTATTCTAAGTCGATAAATACAAGGGTAACCAACAAGAATATAGTGACGAAAATGAAAGCAATCACGTTTGCTTTGTAGTGTCTTATTTTAGATTTTACATAAGCATCTTAACTTCAGTTAGATTTTCTTACAAAATAGCATTGAGAACCGAATCCCCATAATAGCTTGCTAATAATTATTATTGCGATTTAACTGGTTTCATGAAATGCAGATACAGTAAATCGTGAAGATGACTTAGGATTTAGTATAATGGATAAACTCACCTGCTTGTATTATATTTACTGTCGGCTTTTGCTGACAGTAAATGAGAGAAATTGATCTGAGGGAAATTAACATATTCTGCATCTTGACTGTGACAATTACGTCTAGGAAATGTACAAAACAAAGCATTTGCCAAAAGACTGGCTATCTGGAGTTGACTTAAAGTAAGTGCGCATTCTTTTCGGCATGATAGTAAAGGAATAGGCTAAAGTGAAAGAGTAGAAATGATAATCGAACGACGTTCAAATAAATAGTGACAACCACTGACAAAAAAATAAAAGTATGAGTCCATGTGTACCATTGGTTTAGAATTAGGGCTTTCCAACTCCCCTAGTTGTACGTGAACCCTGTTCAACGCCGGACTTTCGTCCTTTCGGTTTTATAAACAACATCCTCGCCACGGGAAGACAGCGAGTGAGACTGCAGTGGCAGTGGCTGTATATGCGTGGCCGTGTGAGCATTTTAATAGATGGAGCTGACCCTCTTCACCCTAGTCCATTCCAGGGCCTTTAGTTGATAAATAAATCACTCAGACGATTTCTTTGGAAAACAATTACGTGAGTCGTATCCACCATGTAAATTGGTGAATACATGTTTTTGCCATTAACAATATTTGAGCGGAGCTTATGTCATGAAAGCTCTAGGTCGGTTTACACGACCACTGATCCATAATTTATCCGTTTGACCGAATGAAATAGTTACTTGAATAGAAATAACATACGACAGAGAAATGTTTCTATTGATTTAGTCGTACATCCTTGTGTAAATGTTATGTTTTAATTCTGTTCTCGCCATTTATTGGGTTTGATTCCTTTAATTTTGAAGAAAGATTATCACTGTAGCAGTAAGTGAGGTGTTAGTGTACAGGTGTTTGAATAAATCTATGTTAAGTAAAACATTGCTGTTGATGATACCATATCAAGTTACCGACTCTTTTCATCTCGTATCTTTCACTTACAATTACTAATACTTATGAAATGGTGGAGAAGATTTGTAGCTCAGGTGGATGATTTCGGTGGAGTTTTGTTCTCTGAGCTCAGAGAACGAAACTCCACCGAAATACTAATACTTATCTTTTGTTCAATTTAATCAAATCATTTGATCTGACCTTGTGCAATAATACAGATTGTTTTACGATTACTAACACATAAGTTCTTTGCTGTTTAAATCGAGGGGACGATTTCACGATTATTGCTTTTATCTTTTGCATTATAATAATGTTATTTTTAATATCCATTTTTTTGACACTGCTTTTCAAGGATTTATATTCAAAATATTAATAACTTCACAAATGTTCAAATGTTTTAGGTTGATTTCGCCAACAGTTATCTCGGTGGTGGTGTTTTAAATAGTGGATGTGTACAAGAAGAAATTATGTTTGCTTTACGACCAGAATTGTTGGTCAGTTGCTTATTTGTCGAGCGTCTGGGGTTTGATGAGACACTTATTATTGAAGGTGCTGAACAGTATTCCGTAGGTTCTGGCTATGCTGATGATTTCTGTTGGGCTGGCGATTTTATTCATTCGGATAGTGGGATGAAACGGTAAGTTTCACATGCATTCATAATACTGATCAACCGGATGTGATACTTGGGAGTTATTAAGAATATAAGATATCCGTCGGATTATTTCCCGTCTTCATACACGGTTAGTAAATGGGTTATCATAAAAATGTTTGTTATTAGATCCCTAAAACTTATTTTAGTCTTTCAGTTTAAGAGTTTGACAACCAAACAATGTTAGCTTTTGCCTATACATTCGATCGTTAATTGAAAATGCAAGGTTTAAAAGATTAACTGTTATAATCACTAAGCGTTCACTGACAAATAACTTCAGTATACGTGTCTTTAAAGAGAATATAAAAAGTACAGTGTCCTTGGTAAGATACAATTATTAACTTATAGTTAGATTTCCATAAGCTTCTGTAAATGACAAACATTTAGTTTACCCTGATCTCCATTGTCTGAGCATGTCTGAACCTTCTGAAATTCAGTTTGGGATGTTAGATTCTCTAGACGTTCGTTGACTTTATTAGTTAGTTACGATATTCATTTCTAGAACACCTTTGAATCGTTATCAGAATGGGGATTTGTGGAGATTGTAGTAGTTTCAATATTTGAATTCATGAGTTGATCTAAGCTAGACCACCATTGCATCATATTTATTTTGTTCCACATTTTCCAACTATTCAAGTTCACTTATTCTGGGTAAACACATTGGGTTCTATACGATTTGACCAATTAGTTAATGTCCTCACCTTGAATCTACTTGTGTTGTAACGCGAATTACTTACCATTTAGGTAAGTTGTACTTTCACTTAAAACCCTTCGGTTAGCCTAACGCGACATGCGTGATTATTCATTCCTTGGATATGATTAAGTTATCCAAAGATTAAAGTGCTTTCAGTACAGCTTAAAAGTTCTGAGTGATGGTGAGAAGTCCCATAATAGGATAAAGAAAGCTAATAGTCTTTTATTGGATATGTGGTTTTCACTGTTATTAGCACAATTTTCCAACATACTGACCTAGAATGTAGTTACATTTCTTTTCTATCTAGTTTATATTGTAGACGAAAGGCTGTAATTACAAGAGCGTACTTGCTCAGCTCAGTTCTTTTGAATAGTAGTTTACTCATCAATATTGCTTATTTATACTATGAATATAGTTCTTCTTGATTTGTACTAGCGATAAGTGGGGGAGATGGAATTATGCAGTAGTAGCAATGGATGCTACTAAATACAGTAATCCTATGGAACAGTATAATGTCGAGGAAATGCTAAGAGAATTAAATAAGGTAATATTATGGTTTTATCACTTTATTTAAATTGTATTTGATTTTGTAATAATCTCGGTTGAAAAAACTTTTTTTTAGTTGTTATAACATTGCTTACCTAAAGAACGTAGCATGTTTGATTTTAGAGCAGTCTATTTACTGATCTCCATAACTGGGTTTCATAATACACCATCACCTATCATCTGATAATAGGCTTGTATAGATTAGTATGGACTAACTGTTTGATTATTTGATGCATCATTGATGTACTGTTAACTTTTTGTGGTTTGAATAAAATTTTAATCCATATTTTAAAATAAACTGATGTAATTATTATTTATTTCACTTTTTTTCCGTTTGGTGAATTATCCAGCCTTTTGTTTAGTATAAAACATATAAGTCAGTTAACTGGAGGATGTCTGATTGTTTTCATGAAGTGAACTATCAGTTATTTTCATTGTGTGCTGCAAATTATTTGTTTTCGAACTGAATTTTGAAGACAGTATGTTATGTTTTTTCCTTACGTCAATAACGAATTCTCACACCACTACTATGGTATATATATGATTGGCGGATGTAAATTTTTCTGTCCCTAACGCCTCAACCAGAACACAAGAAAGTCAACCGATGCACCTTGTATTGTTCCAGACTTAAAGACTCACATGCTTGTATACATCATTTACATGACCACAACTTACCATAAATGAGAAATCTCGGCCTGTACAAAACTGAGTCATTTGTAGTATAACTGAAATGCAGGCTTATAGTTCTAAAAATTTAACAATACCACAAACCACTTATTTAATGAAATATCAGTCAGTCAGTCAGCTACAATGTCAGACCAGGCACATATATGCATCGGTCCAAGTTGCCATACCTCATTAACACAACAAGATTAACACCGGATTCATAAAAGTAGTTAATTCAGAGGTGGTAATATATAAAAGAAAGATTGCAATAAGGATATAGTACAGGAAGAAAGAATTAGTTCGTAGAAAGGAAGATATGAAGCGATTTTAATCTCTTAGTTTAAGGGAAGACAGAGAGTGTATACACCGACGCCATTGTGATCGATCCTGAGCCATGTCACCAAGAGTCTCCAACCATTGGTTATGATAATCACGCGGACCCCAACCAAGTAGTCTGCATCTACCGACATGGCTCAGACTAGAAGTTAGTGACTTCAAGCACTGATGCCACGTTTTGGTTTGACCGCCTCTAACTTTCTTCCAACCATCTCCAACACCGGTTAGCATTGCACGTCGTGGTAATCGGTGTTCAGGCATATGTACTGATTCACGGGAAAAGATTTGGCAAAGTTTTACTTTTTTCATTGATTCCTTAATATCTAGCACAATTTTTTTTCTTAGACAGTAGAAAACTTTATGTTGTTCTATTCCTTTGCATTGATTTCGTTATTTCATGTTTACAGGCATATTGTGGGTTTACCGACGAGTTATTTCCTGAAAGAAAGCTACCTCCAGTTGTAGCTACTGGGAATTGGGGATGTGGTGCTTTTAGAGGTGATGTAGAACTGAAATGTACGTAACAGATTCTTTTAGACTTTCGGGTTGTTTTTCTGAAATTTTGTTGGTGTCATTTGTATCGAGTTTGCTTTAAACAACTGCGCAGTCCCTAAACCCTAATCGTTTCAATTAATGTATTTACCGTAGATTGCTAACCGCTTACCATGGAGCTATTTTTATTTAAGTTTTGGTAAAACGCACCTTATACTCAAAGATGTGAAAAACATTCTTTTATATATTATATGTGTTGAGCAATTTTTTTGGATTTTTGGTAAACTACTCTCCACCTTAAATTATTTTCTCCGTCGTGTGTTAAACGTTTCAGGTATACTTCAAATGATGGCATGCCTTCAAGCTAAAAAGTCACTGGCATATTTTACTTTTGGTGATAAAGGGTTTTGTGATAGAATCTATGCAATGTATACGTTGCTTTCTTCTGAAAAAGTAACTGTAGGTAAGGTGGAATTTTTTAAATGAACTATTCAATATATTCTCGTTAATGTAGAGAGTGATATCGAAGTAATTCTAATTGAATATCTTCGTGAAAATATATAATGAAGTAAAATCATTCAAATAACTCTTATTTATCCCCCAGTTTAGATTTTTTCTGACTGTCACTTCAAACAATCATGTAAATAAATAATAATTATTTTCATTATAATCCAAATAGTATTTCTTCAGCGACTAGTTCTTCAGACCAGGGACAATTCATTTTTATCCTTGTCCATTTTCAGGGACGGATAATTATTAAAGTTCCACAACATATACATATCCCTCAAATTTGCATCGATTACGTCAATCAAATAAGTATGTGGCTCACCAAAAGCTATCCTTTGTCGTCATTCAACTTTAAGTCTGTCGCTAGGTCGATCTCTTTCGTAACGGCACTTGATTTGAAAAATGTAGACGAATATTTATTAAGATTTATATAGACAGAAATAAAGTTTCTTAAATTTTCTAACCTAAGTACTCTACGGTGTACAAACTAGGGTGCTTAAGTGTATTTTCTTTTTTAATTTAAACAAATCTCTTTATCTGATTGGGTAATCACTATCCAAATCTTAATATAAAGCTACAACTTTTGAACAGTTCTATCGTCCATTTTTTTAGTTGATTTTATACTAAGGTTGACCTTAATAAAGGTTTGAGACCTAACTATTTCAGAGATGCCTAGTGCCTCTATAGTGTCTTGCTTCTGGTGAAATTCAAAAACATTACGTTTTACTCTGGATTTCGTTCCATATTTTGCATATGAATCAGTTCATAATCAAAATCAAATTGAGTATATGAAAATACCATATCTTAATTTAGATTTTTAAGGAAAATATTGCGGATATCTATTGTAATGTTCACCATCACTACGGATTGATAGACTAGACTTTTATAAAATATAGTTGTTCTAATTATGTAGAGATATCTCATTAACGGATCATGTATTGTGCCTTGGATTTGGAGAATTTGTGCAAAACTCGAAAATCAGGTCCTATTTTAATTGGATCGCCCCCATATTATAGTAGCACTTTCAGACTGTTCTGTTTACAACTATTGTCTTAGTATAAAAGTACTTTTCCTCGTCAATATCCTCTTTTGTTATCAAAACTAATGGTTTATTAATTTCACGTTTTTATAGGACGATTATGGCAAATACTAATTGAGCATGCTGGACATGACTTGATGAAAAACCAATCTGTATTTGATCTTATTTCCCAAACATTGAAGTAAACGTAAATCATTGATACATATGTAAAATACCACTAACTTTTATGTCAAACCTCTTTTTTATTTGCCTTTTCACGAACTTGGTAGCTACAATTTCACTACTTTCGCTTTGCAACTTGTACAAAACACAAGGAAAAAATAAATAAATCAACTCCAAAGTAATCGTTTTGCCTGTAATTAGAAACGTAATTCATTTTTATCCTAATGGTTAGTTTTCCAGGATTGGAATACAACCTTTATTGAGACAAAGTTCTGTTTCTGTTAACTAAGTATTCAACGTTTAGATTTTCTTTGAAGTGTAATTGCCATTCCGTTAAATAGGATAGATTAATTGTATAATATCCATGTATAATCAGGAATATGAGTATTCAGTTTTCAATGTTTAAAATTAACATTTAATCCAATAATTCTGAAGCACTTGTTTTTTTCCGTTCAGCGTTAATGCGTAATAAGTGTAGTCGTCACTTGTACATGACTATTGATTACACTTCTAAAAAACGTAGACCATAGGTGATTGTACATCTGCGTCTTTTAGCAGCCTAAATGCTTCTGTTTGGTAACTTTTAATATGAGTTTTACGCGGTTACATCATGCAGTCATACAAGTTCGACCGCTTATTGAGAACGCGATATCGATACCAACAAGAACATGTTAACACAAAGGTACAGGTTAAGCATAGTTGTTCCCCAGTATGAATTAGTTTCTTATATCTAGTGTGACCGAATAGATCCATCTTCAAACCTTGAGGAATCACAGCTCACTTTAGTTGTACAAATCAATAATAGTAGATACTACGTGGGTTACTTAAAAAAGACGAAAATGTATCATTACAAAACAAACTATGATTGCTTAAGTTAGTGTTGTAAGACTATAAGGTAAAATTTATCTGCTTACTATTATTTCGGTGTGCCTAAATAAATATGGAAGATGACAGTACAAAAAATAGGCTTTGAATTAACTTTGGGATCCCATGATTAGTACTAAATTGTTGTTTAAGAGATCCTAATCATTTCATTATACTAAGCATTCTTAATAATTCTGTTAATGAAGCTTAATCATCTACACCATTAGCATTAGCGCAGTCATTAGAGCAATTAGTATCCAATATAATGGATTGCACGTCTTATCCTCGGTCGGTTCATATTGCGGTGTGCTACTGATGTTGACAGATAAGTAGTACGTATCACCAACCGAAAGTGAAATGCCTGGAGGAAGAAGGTTAAGAAGATCATAGAAAAGAGGACGAGAACAAAGAATGATAGGTGTGGAAACGAAAGGACAATGAAGTCTGAGACGATTGACTGATATTTGCAAAAGGAACAGTCAATTTTGAGACGATTGATTGAGAGTTTACAAATTAAGCATTTACTGTATGGTTCTCAGATTTCACTAAGATGTTCTGTAATTTTGTGTTTCAAATACATTCGATTTTCCCGACTTGTATTCTCGTTCACTTCAATATTATTGACCCTAACAAAAGTAGTGTGGCTTACACCTGCGTACAGAAAGTTGTACGTGCTGGATGGATGACCGTAATGGATGCTTTGCTTTCCCCTTGATTTACCAAAATATAGAAAGACAACAAGGCTCAACATTTTTATTATTTTATTCTTGAACTGCGATACGTAGATATGTGCTTAATTGGGACTTGATTAATTCTAGACATACTTGTAATTTTAACGAATTTGTCACCAGATTTCACATGGTAGTCTGTTGGTTCTAGTTTTGTTAATTTACTCCGTCCAGTATTACCGTTAACACCAGTGTTGGAATCACTGAGACGAGTGGGCTTCACTTTTCGGTCAGTATTTGTATTTGTTCTAATTGTGTGTGATTGATGTTCTGTGCTTTGTATAGTATCTCGACCGGAATTTTTTAGTTTATCAATATTTTCTAATTTATTTGACCAGTAATTGTTGTTATCATGGAATTTTTGTGAAATCTAGATAAAATGTTAATGAAATAGAAGGAATTATTTGTAGGGATAAGCAATCATAGTGTTTACTGAATAAATTAGAAAGTGAATGTTAAGGCCTTATTTAATTAATGCAATGAAGTATAGAGGTTCATAATCTAGGCTTAAAACAAAACGATTATGGTATGTATTCCGGATGAGAATATTATTGAACTAACCAAAACAAATATGTGAAAGTCCGACCTAGCTATTTATGGTTAGAATTATGCTTTAACTAACTAAATATGAAAAGATAGATTATTCAATACGCGAGGAACCTCGCAAAGTTTATGTTAAAAACGGTATTCAACTGCCCAAGTCCACTTCATAAACTTTGTGATATGCTTAATTGTGCTGCGTACTTCGCTAATGACGTGTAGTGGTTCTGTTGGGATGATTTTATCGCTATAACTAAAAGTGATACCTTTATAGTCAACAAAATAAGCAACACCAAAATTTAATTTTGATCTAGTATCCGAAAAAGTGTTTGAGAGTGAGGTAACAGCTTTTTATGACAATGAAGACATAATGATATGATTGCGAAACGGAATAACTAATGCTAAAACTATATAAAATTTGCAGTGGAATAATTAAAGAATAGTTTAATACACTTATGGTTTTATCGATTATTGATGGCCACAAGTTGATTTCATTTTAAAAAAATCAGTACATCACTACGAATTTACATTTCCCATGAAACTGTCAGAGATATATCTGTTTCATATTTTATTATCCGGTGTTAAATTTTTCAACGCACATCAAGTCAGTACCCACACTCTATGGATACCATCTGGAAAAATACTTTATTTGCCGTGTTGGTTGAAGCAAATTCAGGAAGGAAATATAAATGACTGGCTGGAAGGGAATAGACAACTGAAAGAGAGAAGTTTGCCTAATACTATAACAGTATGGTTCAACAGAGGAGGAGAGGTAATTCATGTTGGTGAAGTTTTAACTATCTACTTGCCCTTAACTGGAGTCAGCGAGGTACCTGTGGTACAGAATGCTCTCAAGAATGAAGGTATACCAGGTGTAGAAATGAATTTGGAACCAAAATACAGTGAAACACTTGCGGGAATCAAACAACTTCTATTCACTCATGAAATGGAAATTGTCACGTGTGCAGCTATTAGATCGACACCAATAATTGGTGTTGAAAACAAATGGGCTTTCTTTCAACGTGATAGTACAATTGTTAAGCAAGCACAATTTGCTTTCCACGTTTACACTCCACCAATCATAGTATGGAGTTATGCACTTGAAGCACTTTCCAAAGATCTAGTAACAGAGAAAAACCTTACACAAACATTGACTAATATAAAACACTGGTGTAAATCAAAAGTAAATTTAGCTGAATATAAGTTAAGTCCTTGTCAGGATATAGTAGTACAAGTGATGCCACTGACCTCACTCAAGAAACCAACAGATTCTTTGCCAGTTGAATTACCGAAAAGTAAATTCACAGAAATATCAATACTTATTGAACTATCACATGAACCGATCTTCTTCTTATTAAGTCCTGCAGGAAGTCTTTTTAACTATATTCATGCTACTCTAAAAGCGGAAATGGACGAACTCATTAAAAGATCAGTAATAAAGGACAGTTTATTTACACGCGAAATTGCTACTCGCATACGAGTAGTCTGTCCACCAGGTAGTCAGACGTATCAGCCACCACCTTTGTTCAAGTCAATCACTCCTAGTGAGTATGATGAATCATTATTCAAAAACTCATCAGCATATCCACTGACAAAATGGTCACTCGTATGCCATCCATGTCCTCCAGGTCATGCTCCTCAAACTCCATATGCATTTAATGGTTGTCACTTGTGTCCTAAGGGTTACTACTCAGGTGAAACAAATTACCCGTCAAGTGGAGGATGCCTGCAATGTCCCATTGGCTTTACTACGGATAACATAGGCGCAAAGTCTGTCAGAGAATGTCATGTAGATGGAGGAGCTATATCTCGTCTGATAATTGGAATCTTCATCAATTTATGGAAAGAGTTTGAGCAATTTTTAATTGATAATTCGAGAAAAGAGTTTACTACTAGAGCGGGAGAACAAATCCAGGAAAATTACTGGGTTTCGAAGAAAAAAATTGGTTTGTCTGTATGGATCTTTCTGAGTTTATATATCTTGACAGCTTTATGGTTGTCATCAATAGCTGTCTATCGGATGCATCTTTACATCAAGCTACGCAGAATGTATCAAGCGCAGCTTAGATTACTTTTAAAATCAGCTTTAGTGGGACAAATAAATGTTGTTCTTCGAACTAAACAACAAATAAGAACCAGTAATAATGTCACTTGATAAGGAATACAACCAGTAAAGCAATCATTACGACGATGCAAAATTAATGCTTCATGTTGTACATTTATAAAGAAAATATAATATTTCAGAGCAAATGTCATTTTATTGAAGAAAAGATCGTGAGAGCCAATTTAACCGAAAATCACAAGTCATGTATGATATGCTATTTTGTATTAAGTGACCAAATCACTCGTAAACCAATTTTAGTCAGATAAATTGTCATGAACGTCATTTTTCTGATAATTTAAATGAATCGTGAAAGTTCGAAATATACAAAGGGTAAGTAATTACTGGAGGGACAGGGAACTAAAGTTACAACTGGATCTTCATAATCATTTATCTTTTCAGAGTAGTTGTTAGCTGAAAACTATCGGAACTGCTCTTTAAATATGGGGGGGGGGAATATGTATAATTTAAGAATTATCCAGGGCTAAATGATTTACAAAGTATAAATGTACTATTTGTCCTTTGTTCTTAAGTTTAGGTCAAAAATTAGTTTTCAAAATAGAAGTTAGATCCACATTAATTGGATTAAATTGCATAATATATAACAGTTGTCCATACCAATCCCGCTATGTCCCTTTCTATTCTTTTAATGTTTTTTGGGTGTGCCGCATCAATTAATCGTGACCCATTATTCTGTATTGTAACATCAATAATATTCATTGAGTTCTGTGGGCTATGGCTGATTTTTGAATAAAATCTCAATGAACATTGGCGTTGATGTTTCTGATAC